GTTATCTAGCTAAATCTGGTCCCATTGTGGAAGGAACATTGCTCATCCCTCATTACTCATTAAACGCCTAAAATTTTTATCCACAACTTCTCAATTCTATTTTTTTAACAACAACAAAGTACATTATATATGTAGCCAGCTATAAAGACAGCATAGTTTCGCAGTGGTGTAGTACACAAGTATGCAAACTGCTAAAAATTAAATATGTTTCCCTAATTAATATTTCTTCGCCAACTGAGGAAAATTCTGGTCAATATAATAAGGAGTTTTGGGCGTTCATATAGTTAATTACATGAGGGCGGAAAGAAAGATAAAAAAACTAAACCAATATTATAATTACACTGGAAACTATATTTGTGTGGGTGATGTAATTAAACAGCTAATTCAAAAAAGGTTGTTAACCTTAAACATTGAGCGCGGAAGGGACGATGGGTAACTTCGTATTCAGCGTCTTAAGGGGAAGTACACCTGTAAAATAGTGTGATATAAAATGTTTTATATTTAGACAAGGTTACACCCAAACCTCCACAAACTATATATTAGTAGAAAGTTTAGAACTTGGAAATTGAGAAAAAATATTTCAAACAGGTGAAAGCTTAATTAAGGTGGTTCTATACCGTTCATAAATTTACCGGTTTAGCTTTATTCAAGAGAAAATTGCACTTGCTGTATATTATGAAATTCGATTATTTATACACTTTTACAACACAAAGATAACTAGTGAGAGGGGCATTCTCTGAAAATTTCAATGTAATCCAATAAATTGCTCTCGAGGCATCTTTTCTCAAAACCTCAAATATCCGAAAATGAAAAAAAAAGAGTTTAAATCTCTTGTATTAAAAACACTTGTTTTTTTTTTCATACACTTTGAAAATTAAGTCTGGATAAATTTAAGTTCTACCATTCACTTGGTGTTTTAAAAAGTTTTGTTGCTGTTCAAAATCCTCCAGCCTCTTATGTCACTCCTGCAGCTTCCTCGAAGAGCTTTTTCCCGTTGCCTTCGAATCAGTTTTTCTCCTTGGCGTTGTTTTTTCTCCTTTTTAGTTGCCTGTAAATCAGATTTCTTCATTCGGTGCACATCCTTGCTGCATCAAAATCTTGTTTTGTTTAACCTCAGCATGAATGGACAGCTGTTTCATAACACCAAGTCGATTCTTTGCTCCAATATGGAAGTGGGAAACAGCGGCAGCTCCAGGACATCGCACTGTTTTGCAGCCATGTTGTTTTGTGGTTTGGACACCTAGTGAAAACTAGAGCATTCAAAGCGCAATTTTGGTTTCCAGTTGTTCCAAGAACTCACCTTGGAAGCAACTCTGTTCGACTAAGAGTGTGGGAATTTGTTTTGCAACCATGCTAGCTCTGGCTTAGTAAACTCGATAATTGGGGAGTCAATATTCAAATATTCGTGTTCGACATGTATCATTAAGTTATTTTGAAATCAGTTGTTTTTAAGGTCTGTTAACAAGAATATATGAATATTGCTCCTCCCCACCAATTATCGAGTTTGCTACGCCAATGAATGCTAGAGCATATGTTGCACACTTTCGATGTAGGGCCGTTTGTTTCACTAAATCAACTTCAAAATAAGTACAAAATATCAGACAATTTGCTTTAATTTAAGTACTTTAACTATTCAAAAAATCCTAAAAGATCAGCCTTTCGCCTGATTAATAAATACCTTTACATAATTTGCATATTGTTGACATATGGCTAATTTTTAGAACATAAATGTAAGTTTGCGTGAATAGTTAAAGGACAGATATAAATCGAAAATAGACGGTACGTGTAGATTGTTAGTCTAATTAGAATGATCATTGAAAATTGTAAAGTAACTTCCTTGACAGATTTGTGTTTTCTTGCTTCGTTTTGGAGATATTTCATTTTGTATGATATACAAAGTACCAAATTTCTACGTCACACATGCATAATCACTTACTTTAAAATTTTATATAATTTTGTCACAATCAAATAAATTTGTTCAAAATTAATAAAGAGCGCGAGATTTATCCACAACTACACCCATGTAGGTTTTCTACTGATTCTGTTTAGTGGTATTAATAAAGATATACGGTTTTCAGACTAAATCATTATGCATATGGGACGTAGGAATTTGGTCCTTTGCATATCATACAAAATGAAATATCTCCAAAACGAAGCAAGAAAACAAAAATCTGTCACAGAAGTTACTCTAAAATTTTCAATAATCTTTTAAATTAGACTAAAAAACAACACCCTCAATTTTCGAGTAATATGTCCTTTAAAGCGCTTAAACGGAAGCAAATTGTCTGAGATTTCGTGAGGCAAATAAGCTCCCAACACATTTTTCACCCATTAACTCTAAATACGATTAATTAAAACTTTTTAATCTAGCGCGCAAGTCATTTTTATTTTGTTAGAGAAGACACACTCCCTTGGTTTACAAAATTTGAATCCGATAATTTTTTTCATTATTCCAAGTACCCAAAGAAGCTATGTATATCAAAATTTGATACCAATGGCTGTTTTCAGAAATTGAGAGCAATTTCGAATCTGTTCAGTTTTTATAAATCCCTGTATATATAATGCATAATTACTTGAGCATGTCCTTCCTGAGCTCTTTCAGTTTTTCATAACATGAATAAAAGACATCAAGGAAGAACACATTTTCCTTTCCCTTGAATGACCTATGGTGGGTTTCAGCAAGTGTTTTCGAGTAACAAATGGTCATCAACATGGAGTTATCCGAGGAAATTCTTGCGCAAATTCGACATTTTAGAGGAATTAAAACGAAAGTTAATATATACTGTAATTATGCATAACACTGTGCCAAGATAGTTACTCCGTGCCAAACAGTAAAGATGTGGGAGCTGCACTCAAATGAAAGACCACGAGATTCGCCTCAACATTTTTTTTACTTGAATTATTAATTGGTAATATTTTTGTTCATCGTCCTGCAATCTGAAAAATTTGCAATCGTGTATTTTCAAAAACTTCAACTTGCACTCGTCCTTTTAACTAGGCAATTTTGGACGGACTTCGTGCACCGCACGAATTCAAACTATCACTATACAAATTTATTGTCATGTGTAACTAATAGTGCTTCAGATATTGTCTCTCTCATGCCCTCATGTTATTAATTATATCAACACCCCAGAATTATATCTATTGATGATATCAACACCACAGAATTATATCTATTAATTATGTCAATGCCCAAGAATTATACCTATATTAATAATATCAACACCCCAGAATTGTATCTATTAGGCCTAATGATATATCAACACACAACATTTCAGAATTATATGTCTATTAATGATATCAACACCTCAGAACAGCATTACCAAGACCGTCGTTTGTAGCAGTTTAGCAGTTTTCACTGCTGAAATGTTTTCTTCAGCAACCCTTTTTGGAAATGTGTCTTACATATATTACATATATAGGCTACAGTTTATAAGATGTACATGCAGGATATCTTGCGAAGTGAAGTATATACACAGTACAGGAACAATATCTTGAGCCTATACTGTACACGGACAAATATTCCCATCAGGCAATTGCTTTTGCCACAGTTGGCGAGATGGTGTCACGAACGCGGAAAAAGCGTTTTGAGGCCTACGAAATCACAAAAAAAATTGTCAAGATGAAGAAGCTAATCAAATTGCGTATTTCTGCATGGAACGATATTGAGTGTATAATTTCAATGTTTTATTTTAAATTAGGAACACTGTAATATAAATTTTGATTGTATGACAACCAAATTTCATACCACACGTCATATCAGCTGATCTTTGTTCTGTTATATATTTGTCCATCGCACTTAAACCTTCACCGTCCTTCGAAACAATGTTCTAAAATTGTGAAAATCTGATATTACTTATACCTATAAATTAAATGCTTACACAATGGAGCAATTTTACTATCATTAGGAAAGGTTATTAAATAATATTTATTATGAATGTAAGACTGTCTAATTGAGACGTTCTCTGACCAATACTTTGCAAAATAAGATGGTTAATTTCTACCGGTAAACCTCTCCGTAAGCACGACTGTCCGAGTTCATATAATATTATTTGTGCATGTATCGAGTTTGGTTCTAGCAAAAATCACAAATTGTTTTAGGTACATCGGTTTCTGTTCGTTCTAAAACCACTTCAATGAATAATCAAAATAGAACATATACTCTTGACAGTAGTAGAGCTATACTGTAATAATAGAAGTGCACTGTAAGAATGGCATGCACTTTATGTTAAATATCGTGATTTATGTTCTATCTTTCTTGATTAAACAGTATACTGTAGTACTATTCAAGCACAGGTATCGTGATTTAATATATATATTATGTCTTTCTCGATAGATCTGAGACCAAATCGGAACTATAACAGTCAATGTAATGCAAAACTGCAAGTTTATAGAGGCTAATGGCATCATTTGTTTAATATAAGATAAATCATGTAGCAATATGCACTTTATCGCCCTCTTCCTGGGCTTTTCTTTCTTATGTGGGCTTGTCGTGAAGACAGTCCGTCCCAGTTTACAGTGTTGCTTGAAATGTAAATTCTTAATTAAAACTCTAAACTAATAATGCCATAACTTCTCGACGAAACGAAACGAAAATTAACTCTCTAAGCATTTATCATGGAGTTGCGTCCTTGTCAGCCGTAGTTTTACTTTTAATAATGATTTAAATTAGTTTGAATTAAATCTGACGTACACAAAACACGCCTACAATCAGTCTACTTCAAGAGGAACAACTGAAGTTCTTGAGATATAGTGGCTTTTGCGTATTTGTCCTTTACATTAATCTACAAATATTGTAGTAAGTTATGTAATTTCCTGTTTTAAAGTTTTCTTTGTGATCAAGACATGAGATAAAGATAAGTAAGTCCTCTCGTCATATTGGCTTATATGCTGTGACTACAATGATGAATATTGTAACCATGGCAAAGGGATCTTGGGCTCCCCATAGTGAAGCCTCAGAATATAAAAGGCGCGAGTTTGATCAGTTCGTCACTTCATCTTCAGTCTTCAAGAAATAAAGAATTGGAAGAGAAATAAAAAACAATGAAGAACATTGCACTGTTGTGTTTCCTTTTGGTGGCGTCGGCCTGTGTGCTTGGTACGTATGATATGAAGGTGTATTCTAGTGATTGTGGTGTGTGAATTATTTTGGAATTATTTTTGATAAAACTACTTATCCGCGGGTCGATTTCAATCCTGGGGAATTTTTCCTGGTTCAACTATCTACCAACTGAGGTGCGAGGTCAAGTCGCCATGTGATATTTTGCAACTGGGTGATCAAGTTCCTGAATTTGTTTCTTGTAAAAGAACATTTTTAATCAAGGACTAAAATTGGACACTAAATTTCAGACACCCATGCAAAACCGGCCAACACTTTAAATTCATATCATTTATTTCATTTTTCCAACAAAAGTTGCTCGCGCTGATAAAGAGACACCAGCTGTCGATGTTCCCAAGATGGAGGATCAGCCAGAGGCCGCCGATGTGATGGCTGACGAAGAACTAACGGATGATGACAAGGATGAAACGGAAAACGACGAAGTGGATACTGAAAATGACGAAGAAGAGACGGAAGCTGACAATGCCCAAGAAGATGAAGAGGTGGAAGAAGATGAAGGTAGGCGACTATATCTAATATTGAGTATGTTGCGGTTTAATAGTTTTTAAAAATTCAATTTCAGGTGAAACATCTGAGACGAAATAGCTTTTTTATTAAGTATGAATAACTCTTCCCATGCATCGATAACTAGAAATGATATTGGCAACACAACATAAATCACTATGCCTGGCCGTGATTGCATGGCACTAATTTCCCTGAGTGCTGGATAGCAGATGCATGAACTGCTAGTTCTCTACTCTAGAGGCAATTCCGTGTAGGCTATATTGTACCAAGCTAAAATGAGGCCATGGTAAGATATATAGGTACATTTTTAGGCTCGTCGCTCCACTGAACAAGTGAATTCGTACAAATCCTGATATTTGACAATGCAGTTCAGTGTGTAAGTTTAAGGAAATGTATAAAATTTAGCTACACCCGACATTTCCATCCACAAATCCTCAACGTGTTATATAATATCTAGCATTATTAATTGAATGTTCTTTCGATGATACACGATAGAGTAGAAAAAGTTACACAATATAGTTATCTATTTTGAATAAGCTTCGTATATATTTAAGAAATAACAAACCATTAAACAAATATATCCTCCTTTTTTTAGACGAAGCCACTGATATCGCAGATGACGAGCCCGAGAAACGAGGTCAGCCTTTTCTCATAGTTGTCAAATAATCTTTCTAAATCTATTTTCTTTGTTGATGTATTTATTGAAAGGGATTAATTCTGACCACAGGAGGCCCAGGCTCGACTTGCCCGCGCCCGCCTGTGCCTTCCTTATAACGAGGGAAGGACGGAGACATTGAGACCAAAATAGCCCAGACTTGGCATATGTCACACGAAACTATCCTCGATTTTTCGCCTTTAATGCATTTCTTTCACGATTAATCGATATCC